CACCTTTATATGAACTATATACAGGGTAACTACAAAATTTATCATCCAAATTAGGTCACTTTGCCAGTGAAAGAGGGTGCTCTTAATTGTTATTCCAGGAGAACAGGTGTAAAACAGGCCATTGTGGGTAAATCTCAATGAGTTTTTGCTTTATGTATGAAAAATAGTTTCTATTAACTAATTGACTTGCTGTAAGTCAGGTGCAGACAGTGATGACTGGCAACTGGGCTGTCAGTCAACTGTGTTCTCATGGTGGGAGGGAGGACTGAGGGGCAAATTACCAGGGCTGCCAATATTTATTTCTTGGCAGAGTATAAAGCTTTGCTTCTCTCTGTGAAAGGCTCTATTTAATTATTTTTTGTGATTCGAAATTTATTTTAGAGCACTGTCTGGTGGTGTATAGGAAAAGATAGGTGTTAATGGCAAATTAATTCATTTTTGTGTATTTATATCATAAAGATATACACAAAGATTATAGTATACTATTAATATACACAAAAGATAAATTTGTATTGCTCCACTATTGTAGCATACTTAGTATATTCTTTATGCTGCTTTCCCATTAAATCTGTAGCCATTTTATACATTAGTTTTAATAAAAGCAAATTGTTATTTATTATTTTTCTTATAACATTAAATTATTAAAATAATTTTACATTTTGACAGGCTCTTCGCAATCATCAATTGACTGGATGTGTCCATTGCATCATATGGATATGTCATAATTTACTTAAACATACTCTTATAAGTTTAAAATTTGGATGCTGTGATCAGCATCTGTGTATATGATGGTTTTCTGTAACATTTGTTTGATTAGATTTCTCATTTATTAGAAAATATAATCATCTAGATAAAGAATTTAATGTTACTTGTCTCGGTATTTTCAGTACTTAGCACATTCGTACATAGTATTCCCTCTATAAATAAATTAAAGCATAAGGTTGGATATTGAACACACATGTTAGAAAGTCTTTCTCATCAGAGTGTGTGTGAATCCTTGATATTATTCTAACTTTTTAGAACTCAAAGGCAGAGATGAAGCATCCTACCTATGCACAATCCAAATGCACTTCAAATTACTGACCATAAGTATTGCTGTGTTCTTATGAATTACAAACTCACTATCCAACCACCCTGGTTTATTTAATAAAGGCAAAATGTGATGCTACCATAGAAACTTCAAAGGAAGGAGGAAACGAGTTTTCAAACTAAATCAATATTGTCTTAAATCCTGACTTTATTATATAATAGTGTATATTCTAAGAATTCTACAAACCTATTTTTTCATCTGTAGAATAGGAATATCAATATTTATTTCATGGAATAACTCTGGATTAAATGACATAACATGTGGAAAGAATTTAGCACATGGTTCCTGAAACATGGTAGGCATTTACTGGTGCATTATAGCACTCAATAGCAGATAATATAATAACAATAAATAGCAATCAAAACAATCAGTAAATTTATGTATTCAATAGTCTAAATGTATTTACACCAATGATATAATTACACGTATTTAAATTATTTAAAAGTGCTTGAGCATGAGTCTAGAAATTCTCAGAGTATTACTTAAAATCACAATTGGTTTCCCTAAGAGAACAGCCACTCAACACATGTAAATGTTACAAAAATCTCCCAGTCTATGAAAGATATTGAGACATCAGATATGTTATATGAACTATTTTTTAAATTATGACAAGCACTTTTGAATAACCAAAATAATACCAATATGATATTCAAGGTAATTAATGAATAGTTTGAAGATAATTAAAGAGCTTGGAAGGAAGATATGGAAAAATGAATTTATTGTTCTTGAAAGAATTTGCAGTGAATTTTTTGTTATTTTCCAAAATGAGGAAAGATAGTCTTGTGATATCATATGAAGTGAACATTCATAATACCTTTGAGCTAGCTGAGAAAAGGGGGAATATAAATCGCTACGAGCATGTGCTTTTTGGGTTACCAGGATGTTACTACAGTAAAAAATATAAAAAGCTTTTATTTTTTTCTAGAAACTTTCATTTGACCACAATCCTATTCAAAGAAAGATGAACTGCTTATATGTGCAGTGGCCTGCCTCTATCCACCAGATGTTTCATTCTATAAAACTGGGATTTGAAGCTAAATGAATGCCTTAACATTTGGGTTGTTGCCAGTATCTTGACAATTCTAATTAGAAAAGAAAACTTTTTTGGAGGACACACCATAATGCTTCAATATTTTCAATGCTTCAGTTTATGAATGAATTTATGGATGTATGTATATATTTTATTGAGAGAAAATAACAGGAAATTATTTTAAGGAAACCATATAACCAGTAGTATATACTTTTTGAAGTTAAATACAGCACAGTAATTAATATAAATGAGCACTTCATTAAACATCTGTTAACTAAATTCACCCTAGTAGTTTACAAAGAAATAAAAGATGTGCACTATGGTAGTAAACTACCCCCACATCTCAATGGCTTATAACACTAAATGTTTATTTCTTGCTCAGGCTACGTGTCCATTGTAGGTTAATTGTGGCTCTGTTCATGTTGCCTTCGCTCTGGGAGTAAGGTAATGGAGTAGCCTCTGTCTGAGTATAGCTGGTCTTCTGACAGAGGATACGAGAGATATGATGAACCATATACTGACATTAAATCTTCTGCTTGGTGTTGACACATGTCACATATTTTCCATCACTCAAAGCAGATCACAGGGCCACACCCAAATTCCATAGGACAGGGGTATATAATGCTTTTGCAGGAAGGAGAATTTCAGGTCACATGTCTAAGTTCAAAGTCAGTGAAGGCAAAAGTATAATTCTCTAACAGGAAAGAGAGGGGAAATAATGAGAATAAGAATGTACCCTGGGCTGGCCGAGTGGCTCAGTTGGTAAAGAGCTCGCTCAAGAGTTTGAGCTCTGAGCAACAGCGGTTCGAGTCCAGCCCGAGCTGAGCAGCCGCTGAGCTGCCAACAGGTAGCAGGATGGTTCA